CAGATCAAAAATTGCAACAAAGTTGCAAGTTCAACAATGTTGCAAATCGTTTCCACAGAATTCAACAAAGTTGCAAATCGCTTCCTGCAGAAATCGACAATGTTGCGAATAATCCGAATAATCAGAAGCTCGCCAAAATGTGATAAAATGAGAAAAATCGACTCGACTTTTGGAACATTGTTAAACCAGGAAATATCACAGACATGGAACGACATTTTAGGGAAATATCACAGAAATGAGGGGAAATTATAGGGAAATGTACCAGGAAATAAAGGGAATCATACTAGGAAATTAAAGGGAAATATACCAGGAAATATACAAAGAAATGGAGGGAAGTTAAAGGGAAATATACCAGGAAATGGAAAGAAACTAAGGGAAAATAGACCAGGAAATGGAGAAAAACTAAAGGGAAATATACCAGGAAATGGAGCGAAATTAAAGGGAAATGTGTAAGGGAATTAAGGGAAATTAAAGGAAAATATACCAGGAAATAGAGGGAAATTAAAGGGAAATATACCAGGGAATGGAAAGAAACTGAAGGGATATGTACCATGAAATGGTACTGAAATTAAAGGAAAATGTCAGGAGGTGTTAGGAAGTGTTAGGATGTTTGAGTTGGCGTTAGAAGGAGTAATGAGTTATTAGGATGGTTGAGTTGGGGTTATCAAGTGTCAGAATATACTAAAATGTGTTTAGTTTTCAACTTTATTCAAGTGTAGTGACATTGACATAAAGGATTTTGTAAACTTACTTACGAATTACATAAACCAAAGTAACGTCGTATCCTGTTGCCGGTGAGAAGGAACACATCCAGTTCGTCACCTGATCGATCTGTCCTTAGATCGGACCTCCAGCGCCAGGTAAGAGTCGAAGAGTCGATAAGTCTTGGCGAGCGTGAAGACGTCGTAACGGAGGATCCTTCGGAAGAGGATGTCGCGAGATAAGAATTGAAGAGAGTGTCGGGGTCCCGGTTTCGAACGGGACGTGCAGGTAGTTCGTAAGCCCCGTCCTCGGAGAGGGAACGGGACAGAGATATGTTTTGAATTTAGACAAGTAGATGTGCAGGGAGATACACTGTCTCCGTAGGCGCCCCTTTTCATACGTTAGGTGTTGGTTTAGGCAAGGGTTTCGAGAAATAGATAAATATCCTTGGAAACAGGAAGTGCCTCTACGTGGGTGGAATCCCTTTCGTTCTTTTGGAACCAATATGCTAACCGTTCCTTTCGTATTTCGTACCTTCGAGCCATTTCTCCGTTAGGGAGTTCCATTTTGCATCTAAAATCGTTGCTGTATCCAATTCTGCGGTCTCCGATGTCCAGGACACTTGCACGCTTTATGTTATCGATTTCTGTGCACTCTTGATGCGAAGACAAAGATCCCCAAGCACGATAGATTTTTCGTTCATCCCGTTTCGGTTAGGATGCGTTACGTATTAGTCACGTTTCAGATTTCCTGGAGATTCTAAATGCCATCACGGAAAGTTCTAATTTCCTTTCACGAGCCCGACCCGCGATAAATGGGCCCTCGACGAGTTCTTTCCTGAAACACGCGCCAGCGAGACGTGTCAAAAGAAATACCAAACTGTCCAGGGGACAATGGAGCACTCGAAGAGGACAATCTACAGACCTAGTGCCTTTTCCCGCGACAACAGTAAAGGAAGCGCGGCATCTCCGGTGGAAGGAACTTGCGAAATGTCTCAAGTGGTCATGCGCGTGTGTGGAAACACTCGAGAGAGGCTGCCAACGTCGTTCCTGGCGGGCAATCAAAGATTTCCGGGCACTTGAAGGCTGCGAGGCTCTTCGGGAAAAAGCCATTATCGGCTTGGCGCACTCCCGAGGCCCGTTTCCGATCTGTCACCGCTGTCGTGAAGTTCGATGCTCCTGCGAGTCGTTTTCCAACGTTGAGCCATCGACAGGATGCGGGCTCACGCCTGGCGCGACGATTCCTACGGGTGTCAAGTGTCTGGCCAAAAGTTGCCAACGAAGAGGGCAAAAGTTGCCTCTCTATTGGGAGCTGACATAATTTACAGGGAGAGAAATCATGCAGAGGGGAGCTTGAAAAGTGTAGTCCTTTTCATTCAACTTAGTGTGGTGTGTGCTCTTTTGGCTACCATAAGCTATTGATTGGTCGAGGGGAAAAAGCGGCGAAGATTGCGTTGCGTATTTCTTTTCCTATCCTTTCTTTCTTTCCGCAATAAACATATTTTATCATTTCTTATCTATATTAATTCCTACATTCTACAAGTCGAAATCTCGGAACTATAAAGTAGCACCTCCACCGACCTTACTCCTTGTCGCTCGACTTCGGTAACTCGAACCATCTGAAAACCTCCACGCACGTTCCACAAAGCACTGTTTTCTGCGCGACTGATTCTAGATAAATAATCGTCGAGCCATGTCACCTGTCTACCCACGCGTAATCCATCCCGCACTTGCATCGCGTTTAATCGGTCGCCAAGTGTCTTCAAAGGGGTTCCCACACGGTAGAGGAGATTAGGACGAAGGGGAATACCGCATTCCGCGTTCATGCAGCGTCATCCGACCGAGTATTAACCTTCCCTTGGTGCCTGGGGTACCGCGACTCCATGTTGGATCTCACGTTTCAGTTTATCTGCTGGTACGAAGCCGAACCGCGCGGCACCTGTCGCGAGTTCGTTATTCCTCGTTGTGCACCGCTATGCTTTTAACGAAACCACCGTAAAAACGAAACTTTACGCGTCTGCCGAGGCGCAAACAGCCGACGAAAAAACATCGGGAAAAAGTTCCGCGCGGGATTGGCTCGCTTAAACGAACCGATTGACAGGCTGCTGTGAATCTCGCGAGAGAATAACAGGGATTGAATGGTACGTTCGTAGTCGTTCGTTTCATCCATGAATTCGATGAATCTTAGTCGATGGTACACAGCAAACTCACCGTCGCCAGCGAAAGAAATATTCACGTTCTTTTAGAAACCCGTTCAAGACCGCGGTTTCGAGATTAACCACGGTGTAACGTACACAAGAATCGTGAGGGGGATGCGCTTATGCGACTCACGAACGCGAGACGGTCAAATTTAAATGCACCGTGGCTGGCTCTGTATCGAGGAGACAAGTCACGTTCGCGGAGAATCCTTTTTCGAGATTTCGTTCCGTCCTGGATTTGGAACGGGGCGGAGATGACAGTTCGTTCGGAAAGGCACGAAAAGAATCAGAAAACATGCGGCGGCATTAATCATGCCGTGGAAAACAGCGTCGCGGTTATTGAAAACGATGCGTTTTAAATGAAAATAGGGATCAACGGACAGTGCTTCGCATTTAGTTCTGGAAATGGAAAACGAGTTTCTCGAGCTGCTTCGTTCTTCGACGATTACACCGGACGGTTTCTTCTGCGTAC